CAAACATCTCCTAAACCCCCTTCACTCGCATATACATACTTTTTACTATTGTTGTTGTAAATTAACATTTTAAAAATAAATTATAGCAAATTATGATTTATAAAATATTAATTAAAAACTACCATTTTATATAAAGCAATTAGAAATTTTCATTTTACAAAAGATATGATACAACTCGATTTACTCAAATATTTATTGAGTTATTAAATATTTTAATTTATATAATTAGTATTAATAATTTAAAATAATAATTAATACTAACATCTTTAAATCTATACTATATTATAAAGCATTTGACAAAAACTCTTAAAAACCATTTTTTTACACATGAAGTACTGTTTATTGATGCATAGTACTTAAAATTCAAAATTACAAGTGATTTTACGTAAGTATAACTTATTAAAGCTTTATTTTTAAATTCATGTAACTAACTGCAGATAAATATAATCAAATACAAGATAAATTTTAAATATAGAAAATCTAAAATATAATTAAGAAAATCATTGAGTTTCTAACAGAATGTTTAATTATTATCTTCATAAAAAAATATATTATTAAACCAAAAATAAATTTCTTTATTATTAGGCCTAAATTAAATTATAATAATTAATTGAATTAAATAAATTACACCAAAAAAAGGAGAAATCTATACTATATTATAAAGCAGTTCACAATAACTCTTAAAACCACTGTTTATACATGAAGTACTGCTTAATGATGCATATTACTTAAAATTCAAGATTACAAGTAAATTTTGCGTACATATAACTTATTAAAGCTCTATTTTTAAATTTGTGTAACTAACTGTAGATAAACATAATAAAATATAAGATAAACATCTAATTTTAAATATAGAAAATCTAAAATATAATTAATATAATAATTGAGTTCTAACATAAAGCTTAATTATTATTTTGGTAAAAAATTATATTATTAAACGATAAATAAATTACTTTATTATTAAATCTAAATTAAATTATAATAGAAAAAGATTACAAGTGATTTTACGTAAGTACAACTTATTAAAGCTTCATTTTTAAATTCATGTAACTAACTGCAGATAAATGTAATCAAATACAGGATAAACATGTATTTTAAATATAGAAAAATCTAAAATATAATTAAGAAAATCATTGAGTGTTTAACAGAACGTTTAATTATTATCTTTATAAAAAAATTATATTATTAAACCAAAAATAGATTACTTTGTTATTAGGCCTAAATTAAATTATAATAAAAATTGAATTAAAGAAGTTACACCCAAAAAAAAATCTATACTATATTATAAAACATTTGACAAGAACTCTTAAAACCCATTTTTAACACATAAAGTACTGTTTAATGATGCATATTAATTAAAATTCAAGATTAGAAGTAAATTTTGCATAAATATAACTTATTAAAGTTCTATTTTTTAAATTCGTGTAACTAACTGCTGATAAACATAATAAAATATAGGATAAACATCTAATTTTAAATATATAAAATATAAAACATAATTAAGATAATCATTGAGTTATAACATAGGGGAGTGCTAATGGCACCCTTTTAACAGGGGTGTTGATTGTTTTGAAAATTGTGTCAATCATTTTTCGTCATAAACATCAAATCAATTAATTATATATTTATATTTTATTAATTTTGTTTTGTTTTATATATTTATATTAAAAATATATATATTATTTTATTATTTTATGTTACTTTATTATTTTATAATTTTGATTTTATAT